CTCTAAACTTGGGCACCACTTCTTTCTTAGTTCTCTCTCAATCTTCACCCTCTCCCAAACTCTCTCCCAATTCAGAAAAAAAAAATGTTGGGAAAGAAGATGGGTTCAGTGAAGAAACTAGCAAAGAAGGTGATGTTCGACCGCGAGTCCTCGCAATACGAGTGTTTGCCACGGGAGAGAGAATTGCAATTGCCTTCCGCGGCCCCAACTGGGTTTTTCTCCCTAGCTATGTTGGAGAGGAGAGACGACAATTCGTGGTGCCAACCAGGTACCGCTTTCATCCTCTATTAAAAATAATGTTAGAGAGGCCCTACGACGAGTTCGGGTTTGAGCAAAGTAATGGGCTAGTGGTTCCATTTAGTGTTACTGCTTTCCAAGAGGTGGTAAATGCTGTGGAGTGCTGCAATGGAAGGTTTGATTTTGGAAATTTAGTTGATGAGTTTATTTAGGTAACAAAGATATACAGCAGTATATTTGACCACTCTTAAGTGCTTTGGGGGTAATGATCTCATTGTGTTCTGGAGTATTAGTTCCATGAGTTCATCTGCTGGAACATTAAATGTATAGACTTCAATGCAGATTTTGATCAGTTAGGAACAAATTGATCATGTATATATAGAGAGAGAAATTACATTACTCTTGGTTAAAACAGATGTTGAAACCAACCCACAAATCTACAGTGCCATCACTAGAATCTCATTAAGAAAAACTAGCTGTCACTCTCCACATGGTTACTGCCATTTACAAGAATTCTCTTCATGTCATCAATCAGCTCTAGCATCTGTTCCCTCGAATGTAGTGGTGATGGATATACACATGCACAATCTAATTCCCCATCTCGTATCGTGTCAAATATTGCGATTGATGGGCCTACACTATGAACAGAAGCACACCCTATGTAGTCCTCCAATCCAATCTCTTGATGCAATTCATCGGAATGGTCAATCACTGGGTCTTCAAACACCGATATGAGTGAAGTTCTTAATGATGACGACCGTGTTAATCCAGGGTTATCAATGGCCTTGACCATGAGAAAGTTAAGGTCATTCATGTCCCAGAAATGCTTCTGATTATTTTTAGCATTTGCAAATGACATGTAGGTTCTCTTTGCCAGCTCCCAAAGGTTTTCCCCTTCTTTTATGTCATGTGTATTCACGATAGCAGAATGGTAAAACCCTGCATCATTTAGGGACATCATGTTGAGTACATCAATTCTGTGTGACAACAAATATTTACAAAGTTTGAAATTGAGAGGATGCAAATTGAGAGGAGTCAATAAGGGAAGAAGAAGAAGAACAAACCTCCAAATTTTAGATGATCTACTTCATAGGACCTCATACCATAGATATAACTCCCACACCAACTCACAGTATAATCACATGCATATTATTATTGAGTGAAACAAACTCTAATTAGGAAACTGACAAGCAATCTACTTAGTAAAACTAATTAATTAATAATGTGCTATTTGAGATGTGGGACATTTGAAGGCTTACCAAAATTGCGGCAACTAAGAACAGGATGAAGCATGGAACGACAATCAGTGAGTGTTACGACTGCATACTTCTGCCATTGGTCAGGAAGACAATTACTGGAATGAGCTGCAATCAATCCGGCAGCTGCCAAGAGCCCGCATAACTTGATCCCCCTTGATTTGCAGCCCTGTAAAATTTACACCAATCTAAGACTCTCAACAATCGCAGATAATGGCAATTAAAGCATCAAATCACAATCCCCACTAACTAGTTAATTTATAATTCTCAATCTCCCAGACATTATTATATACACCTATCTATGTATGCATGCATTGTAGATATGTACATAATGTTTGATAAACCTGCATTTTATCTCCTTGTGATTTGGTCAAGTTTCAACTCAGATTTGCTCTTCCCATGCTCAGAAAATATGTAGTTGATTTCGTTTGAGCTATGGCTGAAGTACAACTATCAGTCTTTCAATTAAAACTAAAAGCAAACATCTAACATCAACTGCTTGGCTAAATATAATGAGTCAAAATGACCGGATATCTTCTTGAAAATTGATAGTTTATTTTCTTTTTGGAGGTGAAAAATAGTTTTTCATCAACTTTTTCAAGAGACTATATTCATGCAGTGAGAGATTGTGCAAGTTGAGTAGCAACTAAGAAAAATTCTTTTGTATTTTCAGGCTCCTCTCTCACCCATGTGAGTTGTGACTAAATGACTAGTTCATCAACACAAGGACTTAAATGCATATTTCCATATTTTAAATACAACTCCGTCAAATCACAGAGTTAGAATAATATGATCTCTCGAAACTGGTTAATATTGAAGACAACTCAATCCCTCCCTCCCACCTTAGAAGATTAAGAAAGATCAAACAGAAAAGATAGTGAAACCTGTATGATTTACCCGGAAATAATTCATTGTGATCCTATGTCTATGGTCCATATGTGTACTGGTCCCATCCCATGAACTTTTGCTTGGGTGCATCTAATTGTGACGGAAAAGACAAAGCAAACTAAGGAAGCTTATCCCTACATGCATATAAAAGGTCAATGAATCAGGACAAACAGTGACAATGAGAGATTACTTCTCTGCCAAGTGCCAACTAAAGGTGGGTCAACTTCATAATTTTGTTTTCTTTCCCAGGTCTCTAAATTTTGGATTTTAAACTACTTGCTATCACTGTTATACCAGAAAGCTAATGAGATGAATTCCAACTTCTCTAATGTCATATAACTTCAAATTAAACCACTAGGTAGAACCATAGAAGTATGATTTGAATTGGAGGTAGTTATTATTTGAATGTAGTGCAGCAAGGGAAGATGCTCCATAGCATCGATGAAGGTTAGAATCCATTATACAACTGAATTTTCCCAAAGTTTCAATTATTGATTACCCATTAATGAAATTGAAGAAATTCTGTATTGGACCAGATCTAGAAATATAGTCACCTTACCAATGAGGCAAACAGGAACAAATTCACTCTAGGAAACAGATAACAGTTAGGCAATCAACACAAAAATTTCATGGTTTTGACAAGTATTACCTCTAAAATGTCTTAGAAAATTGGTTTGCACAAGTTTGTAATTGATAGTAGCATTTCTAACTTGTGACCAGATAGCATTCTAGATGGGTTATGTTAGGTTTGTGTACAATAGGATTAGTGTCGTCTATAACCAGATTCATATCATTACTTCTTTTTTTTATAATGTTGACTGAGATCAACCCCATTGTGATCCATATCAGGTAATTTTGCGTCGATTTCATATGAGTTAAACATTGTGTCAAGAATTGTTGGTGTAATGACTTGGTTGAAGAAATTTACCAAGGACAAAGAAATCCCACTTACCAAAAGAATTCGATCAGTATCATCCGAATTCAGCTGTAGCTTCACTACTTGTGATGATCTAGGCGAGTCAATGCCCTTGAAATTCAAGTTTGCCAACCTCAAGGAATTCAAAGAGTACCCAAGCATGTCCACTCCGCGAGCCCAAAATGGTTTATTAGCTTTCCCAGGGGGAATATAATCCTCAATTCCCAAACCAACCTCCATTTCCTCCTCTACTTCCCTCTGTAACTCCAACTCTTCCTTCTTTCCCTCACCTATCAGACCCAACAACTCCCTCTGCAATGAAACTGCCGAGGTCCGGTCACACGCCGACGTGTGAAGCCGGAGCATCACAGCCCATCTGTCATCACTTAGAGTGTACACACTCACAAAGAACACGTCAATTTCAGAGTTCAATGAATCGTTGTTAGCACACCAGGTGTTTGTATTAATTTCACGCTCAAGAATAAGGTGGAAGTGAGACATGGAGGGGTTGTTAGGATTGGTTAGTCCTTGTAGGATGTCAGATGTTGATTGAAGATCAAAGAGTTGGATCTGGAGGTGAGGTGTGGAGGGTGTGGTGTAGGAGAATGAGTTGGTAGTGGTGTTGTGGCAGAGTTTGGAGTTGAGGATTGGGTGGGACTTCTGGAGTTGGTGAATGGCGTTTTGTAGGAGTGATAAATCAATTGGTTTCGAGATGAGGAGGGCGAAGACAGTTATGCCAGTGCCGCCAGGGACGGCTTTGCACCAACTGTACTCGGTCAGTCCCACCGGTCGGCACTTGGGCTCCGACATGAGTGTGTAATGTGTGTGTGTGTGTGTGAGTGAGAGAGAGAGAGGATTGAAGTGAAGTTGGGAATGATGGTTGGATGATAAATATGGACAAGACGTGCTTTGAAATAAACAAAAGAATTTTGGGTAAATTTCACTGACGCCCCTAAACTTGTTAATATTGAAGACAACTGAATCCCTCCCTCCCAACCAAACTAGAAGATTAAGAAAGATCAAACAGAAAAGATAGTGAAACCTGTATGATTTACCCTGAAATAATTCATTGTTATCTTAAGTCTATGGTCCATATGTGTACTGGTCCCATCCCATGGATTTTTGCTTGGGTGCATCTAATTGTGATGGAAAAGACAAAGCAAACTAAGGAAGCTTATCCCTACATGCATATAAAAGGTCAATGAATACTCCAGTCAGGACAAACAGTGACAATGAGAGATTACTTCTCCGCCAAGTGCCAACTAAAGGTGGATCAACTTCATAATTTTGTTTTCTTCCCATGTCTCTAAGTTTTGGATTTTAAAGTACTTGCTATCACTGTTATACCAGAAACCTAATGATATGAACTCCAACTTCTCTAATGTCATATAACTTCAAATTAAACCACTAGGCAGAACCGTAGAAGTACGATTTGAATTGGAGTTAGTTGTTATTTGAATGAAGTGCAGCAAGGGAAGATGAGCATAGCATCGATGAAGGTTAGAATCCATTATACAACTGAATTCCCCCAAATTTTCAACTACTGATTACCCATTAATGAAATTGAAGAAATCATGTATTGGACTAGATCTAGAAATATAGTCACCTTAGCAATGAGGCAAACAGAAACAAATTCACTCTAGGAAACAGATGACAGTTAGGAAATCAACACAAAAGTTCCATGGTTTTGAGTCTTTTGACAAGTAGTACCTATAAATGTCTTAGAAAATTGGTTTGCACAAGTTTGTAATTGATAGTAGGATTTCTAACTTGTGACCAGATAGCATTCTACTATTTTAGTTTCCAAGAACTATGATAAGAATTAGGCTAACAATGGGTCATGTTAGGTTCATGTATAATAGGATTAGTGTCGTCTATAACAAGATTCATATCATTACTTCTTTTTTTATAATGCTGACTGAGATCAACCCCATTGTGATCCATATCGGATAATTTGGCGTCGATTTCATATCTAGTTAAACATTGTGTCAAGAATTGTTGGTGTCATGACTTTTATTGAAGAAATTTACCAAGGACAAAGAAATCCCACTTACCAAAAGAATTCGATCAGTATCATCCGAATTCAGCTGTAGCTTCACTACTTGTGACGATCTAGGCGAGTCAATGTCCTTGAAATTCAAGTTTGCCAACCTCAGAGAATTCAAAGAGTACCCAAGTATGTCCACTCCGCGAGCCCAAAATGGTTTATTAGCTTTCCCAGGGGGAATACAATCCTCAATTCCCAAACCAACCTCCATTTCCTCCTCTACTTCCCTCTGTAACTCCAACTCTTCCTTCTTTCCCTCACATATCAGACCCAACAACTCCCTCAGCAATGAAACCGCGGAGGTCCGGTCACACGCCGACGTGTGAAGCCGGAGCATCACAGCCCATCTGTCATCCCTTAAAGTGTACACACTCGCAAAGAACACGTCAATTTCAGAGTCCAACGAATCATTGTTAGCACACCAGGTGTTTGTATTAATTTCACGCTCAAGAATAAGGTGGAAGTGAGACATGGAGGAGTTGTTAGGATTGGTTAGTCCTTGTAGGATGTCAGATGTTGATTGAAGATCGAAGAGTTGGATCTGGAGGTGAGGGGTGGAGGGTGTGGTGTAGGAGAATGAGTTGATGGTGGTGTTGTGGCGGAGTTTGGAGTTGAGGATTGGGTGGGACTTCTGTAGTTGGTGAAGGGCGTTTTGGAGGAGTGATAAATCAATTGGTTTTGAGATGAGGAGGGCGAGGACAGTTATGCCGGTGCCGCCGGGGACGGCTTTGCACCAACTGTACTCGGTCAGTCCCACCGGTCGGCACTTGGGCTCCGACATGAGTGTCGGAATGTGTGTGTGTGAGAGAGAGAGAGAGGATTGCAGTGTAGGTTTGGGATAGATGGTTGGATGACAAATATGGACAAGACGTGCTTTGAAATGAACAAAACAATTTTGGGTAAATTTCACCGACACCCCTGGATTTAAGTCATATTTCACTAACACTCTCTCTAGTTTCAAAAAAAAAAAAAAAAAACTACAAACCCCTATAGTTTATATGCACATTTCACAAACTACGCCTAGTGTAATGTGATGGTTTATTCTCTTATGAATTATCAAATTTACCATTGGCTATATACAATAAGTTTAAAATAGTAATAAACATTCTTTTAATTTTAATTAAATTAAATTAAATACTAATTAGATTAAGTAAAATGTTTCCTACAAAAAAAAGTATCAAACAAAATGTTAATTTAGTGTTAATTTTAAAAAATAATATTAATTTGATAAAACATAATATTAAATTCAAAAAATTGAATGTTAAGTTTATAAAATTGAATGACTATTTGGTATTGATTTGATGAAATTAAATGTTAATTTGAAATTCAAGCAAATAAATGATGGTAGTTTGATAAATTAGATTTTAAATTGATAAAATTAAATATGAATTTAGAGTTAATTTGATGAAATTGAAGATCAATTTCATGTTAATTTGGTAAAATTTTTGTATTAATTTGATAAAATTTAATATTAATTTCATAAAATTGATAGTTAATTTGTTGTTAGTTAAATCAAATTGAATATTAATTTAGTAGTTAATTTTATGAAGTTTAATGTGGTTTTGATAAAATTGAATGTTAATTTGGTATTAATTTCATGAAATTGAATATAAATTTGGTATTAGTTTATTAAAATTAGATGTTAATTGGATGAATAGAATGTTAATTTGACAAAATTTAATATTAATTTAGTGCTAATTTGATCAATTTAAATATTAATTTGGTGTTAATTTAATAAAATTAAATATTAATCGAATAAAATTGAATATTAATTAAATAATATTAAAGGTCAATTTGATAAAATTATAGATTATTTTTGTATTAATTTGAGTAAAGATAATTAAGTAAAATGGGAGTTCTAGTAAGGGTATATTAGTAAAATTACTTATTCTATTATGGCACAAAAGCTAATAGGGGTATGCAATGATATTTTAGAAACTAAAGAGATGTCAATAAAATATAACTTAAATTTAGAGGGTATCAGTGAAATTTACCCAAGAATTTTTGGAGCGTCTACATAATTAGCACATGATAATTATTAAAGTTACTTAATTGTTGGACTATTTATACTTTAAACTCCACAACTACGACCTTTTTTTTTAAGGTGCAATCTTAACTTTCACCGGAACGATGACTCAAATCTTAATTTATATACTCAAACTTTAAAAATATTGATTTACACCCAAAAAAATATAAATTCATATCAATGTGCACCCGAGGTTAAATCTTCCATTTTGTTGTTAAAAAAGTTTAGACTAATTATAAATTATACCCTTCAAAGTTTAAATGTCTCTTATTTGTGATCCAAACACATCCATTAATGATCGTTAAATAGCTCTCAATTGTATCGTATCATAACATCTTCATGTCGTGTTCATCAATAATTTTTTTTATAAAATATCTATTTTTTGCCTATAATACTCGTTGAAATTAAATAGTTATTTTCTGTTTACAGTTAGACACAAATCTTTTGTTTGTCCGATCAAATTAAAGTTAAATACGAATAACATAATTATAGACAAAAAATAGTTATTTAACGAGTATTATAGGCAAAAAGAAGTATTTTTTTAATTTAAAAAAAATATTAAATAATATTATATGAATTGTCGTAAATATGAAATATATGACACAACGCAATTGACTCGACATGAAAATATTTTTTTATTTACTCGAACACAACACAAAAATGTTATGACACGATACAATTAAGAGCTATTTAACAAGTATTAATAGATGAAATTCTTTTTAAATCATAAATGTGAAATATTTAAACTTTGAAAGGTGCAATTTATAATTAATCCAAACCTTTTTAACGGCAAAATTGACGAAAGTGAGTCTTAGATGTACATTAATATGTATTTATACCTTTTAGGGGGTAAATTAATATTTTTTAACTTTAAGGATGTAAATTAAGATTCGAGTGATCTTTCAGAGTGTAAGTTGAGATTAGCTCTCTTTTTAATATTGCCTCTTCAATTATCATCATTTTTGAAAATATCATGATCATCTAATAAGAAGGTTTTCGTTTTTTCAATTAAAAGATTTGAAGACATGTTGATTCTAATAATAGATTGTAGAGTTGATCATTTGAACCTTTCAATTCATGGATGTAGATCTTGGACTTATGAATGGACATATTCTCGAAACTCACAAAAAAAAAAAAAAAAAAA